ATTGTATAATGTTTAAACCCACATTTTAGCTGTTAATACATGTGCTCTGAAACACTGAACCTTGTGACTTATGCTGGCAGTGTTAGTTATATCTCATGTATATATTTATTATTTATATGTATTTTATTACGCATATTACATATATACTGTGTATATATATATATATATATATATTAGGGATGCACGCTATTATCGGAACGTTATCAGAATCAGCCGATAAAAGCTTAAAATAAAAATATCGGCATCGGCCCGATATGAAAAATGATGCCGATATGTCTTGCCGATAAGAGGAATATATTAACTCACATGTGCTCAGGGTGTGCTAGCGATTAGATCACGTCAACAATGCGATTTAGATCACGTCAGCATTGTGGCTCATTCTTGAAGCAAAGTTTTGACTGAATGGTGATTGGATTCACTGTTTTGATCGCTGCATTTAAACTGAGAATGCACATACAGAATGACGCGTTTGGTGTATGATAGAGTAAACAGTAATAGCACATGCAGCAGCAGCAGCGGCAGCCTCCCCCGGGTCTTAATGCCCGCTCAGTAAGGAGTTTTAATTCCGTAGGGGGCGCTGTTGCCTACTTCTAATAAAATAAAAGCAAGATACACAAATTGTGTTTCTGATTAAATAAAGCAGTAATTGATGCCATATAATTATTAGTATGTTTTGATTTAAAGGTCAGAAGCTATCTATCCGCCCGCACTCACCCATCAAGTGTTGTCCCGCGCCGCAATCTGCTGCGTCCCGCCCGCGATAGTGCAGGTCTCTACTCGGAAGGTGCCTGTTATAATGTTATGATGGAGGCTCTGGACTCTGAGCATAACTTGTGAACAAACTATAAAATATTTTCTATAAAAACGTTAATGCCCTGGCAGTGGTAAATAGTTTGTTTTATATTTAATTTGATTACATTAATGTTATAAACTGAGATTTACAAGAAATATTTTAACTGCTACTATGTAAATGGAATACTGCTTAATTAATTGTGATTAATCACAGAAAATCATGCAATTAATCGCGATTAAAAAATTTTTGTCGTTGCCCAGCACTAATTAAAATATAACTAGAAAGGTGATTTATATAACTAGATAAAATATAACTAGAAAAGTGTTTAGAAATAAAGTCAGAATATTTTATCTAAAATCTGAAGTACTAATTTTCTAAAGCAATTTTAAAGAGTGGCACTTAACTGAATAATAATAATAATAATAATTCAAATACTCCAAGATTACTAAAAAACTAATACAAAAGACACAAAAAAAAGACCAAAACACACACACACACACAAATCATTGAGTAGGACTAGGACACAAAGAGAACAGTTGAGTTTTTAAAGTATTCAGAAATCTCAAAACATATTTTTCACAGTTCTTGATCAGTAGAACCTGTGCCAAAACTGGCATCTTCAGGGCATGGTTTTAATGACATACACCAAGTTTTGTCTCAATAGAGCATTTAAAAGATAAAATCTCACTTCCTGTTTGACACTGTCAAAGTAGAATTTTTTTTTTTATTGAATATATGAGAACATCAGGTTTTGCATAAAATAATCCAGGAAGATCAAATTTGATGAAGATTAAATGAGCACTGTAGGAGGAGTCTGAAAATGTATATTTTTCAGAAACCTTAAAATTGCAGAGCGTCATTGACATAGGTTAGGCATGTGTGTGCTGGTGTGTGAGAACTCACGGGACGTTTTGGAGGCAAGGACAATGACCCTTGAGCCTGTGATGAGTTGGAAGCCCAAAGCACTGCTGTCATTTTTTTCTGACTTCTCAGAGAAATCTGAAACCCAGAAGCATAGTGTAGTCAAAAGCACCAGTAAAATGGATCCATACCAGC